GGGTCCCACAGGTTGTGGTAACGCAGCACCCGGTACAGCTGCCTCTCCGAATCAGGGGACGCCCCTGCGTGGGGGGGGGAGAGGCAATTTGTGACCACTGGGCCTTCGTGATACAGCCACAGACAGGGCCATAGCAGGTGATAAAATCAGATTCATAACATTGTGTAACCATGACTGAAGCAAGTAGGGGGCTTGTGTTTCTGTGCCTCTGGCTGTGAGCGGAGGGTCACCAGTTCAAACCTCAGCAGGAAAACCACATCTCTGCTGAGCCCCTGACTAAGGCCCACAACCTCCAGATAAATAGCAGAACCTGTGCTTCACCATCAAGTGTGTGTGTGTCTCATAAGAAGAGCAAGCATTCCAATGTACTTGTGCAAAAGCCCCCATCAAGAGCCGTGACTTAAAAGGCATCATCTGCCAGGCGAGGGGTCCCGGCCCACCCATGGAGAGCTGTGTGAGGGCTGCGGAGACGCTGATGGGCGACAGCAGCACGCTGGCCTTGGGGTCGCTCCCGGCCATCTGGCGGAACAAGTTGTAGCCGAAGTCGGACGTGGCGGCGGCCAGCTTGGAGGTGGGTGTGGTGAACAGCTCCACAGGGGTCTCGTCCTCCACCTCTTCCTCCTCTGCGGCCGTCTTTGAGATCCAGAGAAGACCAGAAAAAAAGAGAGAAATTACATCACACATTCTACACCTCATGTGCCAAGAATAGTTACAAACTACTGCCCTTACAATATGGACGTAAGTGGAGTGAAATGTGCATGGTTATTAATAACACCATCCCTGGCATTTAAAATGTCAGAGAGAGGGGTAGGTGCAGATATGGGGGTGGGAGTGTGGCGCCACCTGCTGGGCGAGGGAGGAGGAGAAGAGCGCAGTGACACACAAGAGGAAGGCCGTTCTCTGCATCATGGCTCCACCAGCGGGTAAGACAGGCCTGTGGAAAGGAGAGGCAGCCGTTTGACTGAGGGACACCTAGAAGTGACTACAACAATACTGTCACGTAGGTGTAGATGTGGGGACAACAGCCTTAGGTATGCATGCACCATAATTAATAATTCCTGTCTTGAAAAATAGGGGACAATACTTCTTTGTTTTATTACTTTTGTACATCTTTGGTCAGAAACTACCTAGTGGTCTCTGAAAAAACCACTACATCAAATACCCCAGGCTCATTTTCAACTTTGGCTTCAAATCGCTGCAAGAAGGATTTACCGAAAACCCAGGAGAATGTAATATTACTGCCATTGCCATAGTCTGTTGGCCAGATCCTCCAGTAAACAGGTCTGAATGGAGGCGCTGCTTCCACAGCACTGATGGCCAAGTGAGCTGTGGAGGCTCCTACAACAGCAGCTTCTATATCCCAGCTCAGTGCCCCGTGTCACATGCACCAATCCATGCATCCATGAATTTTCTGTACCCACTTATCCTGTTTGGGGGGGGGGTCCAGAGACTATCCCAGACACTCTGGGAGCAAAGCAGGAAACAACCCTGGATAGGGCACCAACCCATCCCAGGACACACTCATACACCATTCACACCTATGGGTAATTTGTTATCTCCAATTAACACCAGCATGTTTTTAGACTGTTGGGGGGGAACAAAAGAACCCCAAGGAAATCCCACAACAACACAGGAAGAACATGCGAACTCCACACACATGGAGCTATGGCAGAGACTCGAACCGTGGTCCCAGAGGTCTAAGGCATCAGTGTTAAACACTGTGCTACCATGCCTTCCCCATGAACACACCCATGCATCTAAATTTAGTGTTTCTCCTAGTTTCACCTGGCCAATAAAAGAGCTGACAAAATACATCCCTTCAGTCTGCCTCCCACTTCAGGAAATCTGCGTGCGTTTCTGCAGATTCCAAGCCGTGGACGTGAAACACAGCCATAATGGTGTCGATGCGATGCTACGGTTAATCGTGTCCTTTCTGGTTTCCGGTTCCCGCTTCTCTTTCCGTGTCCGCCTCCGTGTGCCAGAAGCGACAGCACATCCCTATATCAGGCATGACGACAGCTGCGTCCTTATTCCACTTTCTAGGTGATCACACCGACACCAGCAGAGCCTGCGGCTGACAGGCCATCGCCGCAGTTTCATGAGGGAGTTCTTGCCACACAAGACACCTAACAGAGTTGGGGGCTCACTGACCCATCTGAACGCACCCAGCTCAAAGACTCTATGAGGATTCACAGGCTGACTGACATGAGCTGTTATGGAGTTTAGGTGTCAGTGAACAACATCTTGCCAAGAGCTAGCCCACACTCATCCTCCCACCCCCTATCCATGCCCTCTCTTCTCGCCCATACCCTCCAGCTTGCAGAAAGCAGCAGGATTCTTGAAGAAGGGGTGTTTGGAAAGGGGAAGTATGTATCCTCCCCAGATGTGGATCTTTGCCCCTCCCTTCAAAACATCTGGATGTCATCTAGCTCCTACTGGGTTTTCCCGTTAAGAGAAGAGGTCTGCCCAGACCCTCCCCCCAAGACTGACGGCTCAAATTCACTCACAGCAGCCTGACACCGGTCCAGTGAAAGCAGTGTGGTCATTTTTTTTACTGTCAGCACAACGTGGAAGATTTACTGTGCTGCCACGTGAGCACTAATTACAGGTCATATAATTCCCGAACTTTTCAACTTTCTACCCCTTAAGATAATTGCGCTTTGATTGATTGGGCTCCTCCAAGGGGCTCCAGGATTTATAATGTTTCTCGCGTTACTGGTTTGTTTAGACTGGCCCACTAAGGAAATGGTATGGAAATAATTACTAAGCCTAAAAATGAAAAGCATGCAAAGCAAAGCTCGCGCTTTCCCATTGAAAGTGAACCGTCTCCGCCAAGATTTGCCCACATTACCGAGCACCTTAAAACCAAAATGCATGGATATCAGACATAATATGCACAAGCCGAGATGCTTTTCATCCGTCCAATTGGATCAGAACATTTACCTAGACAGGAAGTTTTTTAAAAAGTGTGTTTTAAATACTTGAGAACTCATTTGTTTTAAATGTGCAATTTCACGGTCCAGCATTAATCTTCCTTTGAAACGCATATATGAAAGGAATATATGAACGCAAAAAAATAAACAGATAACAAACGAACCAACCAAATGCATTGTGGTAGCTTTTAGATATCCTTCACACAATAGATAATGACTTTAAAAGAGTTTAGTACCGGTGCATTTTCAGAGGATGTTCAATGCATTGTAAGGACTAACCTGCAAGCGGGGATTGTCGGGTGCGCTTCTGCTTGCTCTAGACTAGCTGCCTCCGCGTAACTCTGTTGATAATAGATGAGCGCAATGCTTTATTCCCTGGTCTCTTACTATATCCCGCCCTGGGTTGGGCCGTGACGTCAGCTGCTGCTATCTGTCGCGTGGAGGATGGGACTTTTGCACGCTGGGGCACGATTTTAGCACGGACTCTTCTTTCACCATTTTAAAAATTCTATAGCGCTTAAAGTGAAGAAGCGTCTCTGTATGTCATAATTGAAGATCAACAATGCATATAACCAAAATATTCTCAACATGAGCAAATTTGTAGCTGGTAAGAAAATGCCTTAGTTGTGACGCGCCAAAATCGTAGACCTCGAGTTGAGCAAACAGCTTTGTAATGAAAAATGCAACGGGTCGGTGGTAAAGTTACCACACAAAACGTAAATAACAATTAACATTACCAATGAAAGAATATCGTAATATTCTGTGTCGTCTCGAAAATAGTTATATTTGGTCTAACCGTTAGTTATCCTCAATTATGCCGAGACGTAAATGCGCTGTCATTTGTTCGTTGTTCTTTGAATAAATGTAGAGTCTGGTTTCTGGGCGCTGGAGTGGAAGGCTCACATTAAATTTAAGAACTCCAAGTCACTGTTATGTTGTTATAAACCTGGGGCTCTTAAATTTTTTTTCGGCATTTTGGTAAAGTCATAGAGCCTTTCTCTTAATAAAACCACAGAGGCTCATTGCCTACATTCATAATTGAAGGACATGCAAAATTTCATTTAGAGGTTAATAAAAAGAAAGATGCAAGTTTTCTCATACAAGTTCACGGACCACCTGAAATTGTAGAGCCCAAGTTAAAAACCTGTTATAAACAGGAGCGGAAATTGGGGGGGTGGCAGTGAATAACCCTGGACCCCGCACTGTAGGGCCCCCCTGCTGATATCTCGGCTTTTTTAAAGTTACAAGATACATAGAACAAATGTCCACTCCAAACCATTTATATAGCAATTTGTAATAATATATCTTACATTTGGCCGACCGATGCACCGCTGCGATTCCCCCTCGATCCCCCCTATCGGCGAATATTACCGACGTCACTATCGTCTCCGCCCTGGTCGGTATAAGTTTTACGCTGGAACCCCACGCTTTGATTAGCATATTATTGATGTTCCATCGTTTTTAATTCCCTCGTTAGACATATCAGCCTAGCCCTCCCAGAGTTAGTCCACCCCTGGTATAAACTTTTCCCGAGCTATACCGCCATTGACTCGCAGTTATGCTTCAAATAAAACGCACAAAAGTTTAGGACAAATTAGTAATAATAGCAATCACCCCATGTAACTGTGGGTTTTAAACACATTAGACGGTCTTTCCACCATAACGATGGGACATTAAATGATGTACCTGCCGCACAAAAAAACAAACGCCGAATCAGCACTTGCTGTTATTATCGTTCTAAATTTATTCCTATACTCAACGTCAAACAATTGCACAGAACTTCCATTTGTTATTCACTTTAAAGAGTAAACCAGGGCAAGGTCTGTTTTCCAGCAGCTGAGTCATATCGGTGCGTTCCGTGGCCAGTTTGTATGATGATAACCTTCTACTGGCTCAGGCCCTACAACGAGTTCCGTCCGCTAAAAATAGGCTTTAGAGTCGGAAGTGGAAGGGCAGACCATTTTCTGTGGTGCAGTGTTTTGCTGTTTATCAAAAATGTGTTGGCCAGTTATTTTGATTCACGATGTTTGTCTACGATCCGTAGTTTTCTTAGGGGATGACACATGATTACTTTACTTTCTTTTAATCAATAATATAACAAATATGCTTTAACAAGCCACAGTTTTGAAATTCCAGAGAAAATGAACATTATTTGTGTTATTATCAACAAAATAAACAAAAAGCTACAAACATTTCAGGACAAAAAAAAATCCAAACAAACAACCAGTCATTTAACACGTACAAGTATGGTGGTGTAATTTTTTATGTTGCTGTGTGTGTGTGTTTTCATGGGATTCGCCGAAGCACTCTAGAAATCAAATACTAAGTCAAACTATCCTCAAAGTGAAACTTATTTTTTTACAAGAGACATATTAAAAATTCTACAGCTATTCCCAACAGCAGTGTTACTCTGACCGACAGTCAGAGAACTGCACTAATTCATTTCAAATGCATTTCCCCAAAATTTCAGTACAGTGAAGAAATTAAACAGTAAAATGGTTAATATTAATTAAATATAATTAAGTAGCACAGGACTGATTGTCTAAAAGGTAAAGAGGGGCCCCTAGAATCCATATTTCACTCAGACCGGATTTTGACGTTAGAAAACCATCGATGGTATATTTGTGTCTGTCTTGTGCTCCCCCTGCTGGCTAAAGGAGGGTAGCACATCGTCAGGTTAATTGCGTGCTCTCTCTCTCTCTCTCTCTCCGACTTCTCGGCAGTCAGTTTTCTTTGGGCGGGCTGAACTGTATGCCATCAAATTCATTGTCGTGAGGAAAGGTTACGTTTTCAGGGCGGTCGCCCTGCATGGTGACAGCGTCGGCCCCAGGGTTGGGGTTGGTCACCACGCCCAGGAAGAGGGGTGTGCGTGTAGTGTCGTCCATGAGGGCGAAGAAGAACGGCTGGTTGACAGCGAAGGTGGGGTTGGAGCGGGAGACTATGACGGCGGTGGCGGCGGCCGCCTCGGCCCCGTCCTCATGCAGCTCTATGCTGGACTTGTGTTGCACGCTAGACACCTGCAGGAAGCCGTCGGCGATGCCTGACAGGTCCGGCGCCACGAAGAGCTGAGCCATACCTGGAGCACACAGGAGTCAGCATGGCGGAGGAAGCAGCACGGAAACATGCAGCAGCAGCAGGCAAAAATCTGCACACACCTGCTTTACATGCATTTGTCTGTATTTTAGCCACATTATTCAGTTTAGGGTTTGAGGGAATGAAATAATACATATCAAATATTTCAATGATCAAGAGCAATGTTCAACATCTCAAAATTTTCTTTGACATTAGTCTCCTCCAAACAGCCCCCTTTTGCTTTGATGACTGCATTGCAAACTCCTCGCAATCTTTCAGACGACTTCCAGATGTAGCCACCTGGGATGCTTCTCCAACAATCCTGAAGGAGTTTCCACAAGTTCTGGGAACAAGTTGGCTACCCAACTCTTACTCTTTGACCCAACTAATCCCAGACTGGCTCTGTAAGGTTTAGGTTGGGGGGGGGATTGTGGGGGCCAGTTCATCTGCTACAGCATACAAGGTGCTTGTTGGATTGTTGAAAAATAAAAGTAGGAGTGTCCAGACTTTTGACTAGTGCTATATGCTAAATGCCACCAGTCAGTATGGCACATAACCAAGGCTCACATCACAGGACCCTGCTACACATTGATAAATAAAGAACTTCACTAAATTACTTCATATGAAGACTAAGAAAACCCAAGAGGAGGATGAGAAGTTCTTTACACAAACCCTGGGTAGCAAGTGGCCATGATGACACTGGCAGGAAAGGTGCACATTCTCGCTTACGCTGGCCTCACTTGGCCCAACTCACACACAGCACAATTCATTCATACCCAGAAGAACCTGCAACCTCCTGGCCCCCAAGTTCAAGTGGTGACCTTACCCATGCTGGTGAGAGCCTCCTGGAGGTCCTGGGTGTCCTCCAGCCTGAATTTGGGTAGTTTTACCCGCATACTTGTCTCGCGGGGCAGGCGGTCGTAGAGGTCAGCGGGGTCGAGGCGTGCCGCCATGGCTGAAACATTGAGCTCCTCCGACATGGGCATGACCACCAATAAGCTCATCTCTTCTTTGAATGGGAAGCGGGCCACCTGGAAGGGGGAGGGGTTACTGATTCAGCAAAACGATTGGTCCTTTTTAAGTCATATGGTAAAAACGATGAGGACACGCCCACCTGAGCACCCAGCTCTTTGTCCATCAACACGCTCAGTGGGTACTTTGGGCCCAGCATCATGTCGACATGCACCATGTTCTTGCTGTCGATGTAGAAGAGGTCGCGGGAGGTTAATTGGGGATCGAAGCGTGCCTGCCATTCTCCTGTGGGAATCCTGGGCGTTAATCTGGGAAGACCTCAAGACTCAACAGCGTCAATTAGCTTCAACTAAGGAAATTCTTAAAGCCATAAATTGTGGCATTAAGATAAGATGAAGTGATGAGTTTAGAAGCAGACATGTAGGGAAATTCCTCAGGCAGCACAGAAAGGGACGAGCAGGTGGGATAGAGGGAGCTCACCCTTGAAATGGACGGCGTTGACCAGCATCAGGACAACATTGACCGGCAGGCTGGACAGGAAACGAGTCACGCGGCCCTGGGTGGCGTTCTCCACCCACTGGTTCACCTCCTCCAGACCCACCAGTGGCGCGGGTTCAGACGAGTAAATGCGCAGGGACTCATCCACAAAGTCCTGCTTAAGCTCAAATCCTGAGGCCAACACAGATCGAGTCAGTAAGCTCTGGGCCACCTTGCTGTTCCAGTAAAATATCTCATCTGCCATCCAACAGGTACTTTTACATCATCGGGTTAATTAAGTAGATCAATTAATGTGAATTAGCATGCAAATTTTTATTTGTAATACTTTCACAATGAATACCCTGACCCAATCAACATGTTATTAACGATTATGGAAAATGTAAACTGGGTTCCTTCTTGTTAAACTAATTAGATTAAGTCATTAAAATGAAGCTCATTGAACAGTGAGCCTCCAGGACTGGGAACTCTGTTTTGTTAGCCAGTGTCATCCTCTCTACCACTATTTCCATGGAAACCATATGGTGCCCTCTATCACTTTGACACTCATGGGAGTTTTACTTACACAAAAAGTTCTGAGGGCAGAAGGAAAAATGATTGGTTCAGGGAAATAACAAATCAGATTGTAGAGCAGGTGGGTCCACCCAATCAGATGTTATCTCTCTGAACCAATCATTGTTCCTTCTGCCCTCAGAACATTTTTGCATAAGTAAAACTCCCACAGGCTAATTTGACTCGCCTTTGTGCCTCAGCTTCTCACCTGGCTTCAGGTACATGCGCGACGCCACTTGCAGGGCGTGGCCACTCAGGTGTTGGACGAGTTCCCGTAAGGCCCAGTGATAGCAGGGGAGGTCCTGGGCATGCAGTGAGGCCAGCAACAGTGCCTCAGTCTCATTTCTCGCCCCTGTAGAGTACGGAAGACCCCATCAGACAAGCAAAGTCTACGTAGCTCCACTTGCTGTGCCATTCGCCCTGGGGCCACCAAGGCTTCTGACTACACACCAAGGTCTCTAGGATTTGAACATACAACCATTTCAGTCAGATTTCAAGTGCCTTAGCCACTGCACCACCTTCTGGCCACATACACATACAGCACCCTAGGGCCAGCATTCCAAGTACTTAACGACTTATCACGTTTTCATTATTGTTCTTCTGTGCTGACATGACAGATGCAGCACTGAAGCAGGACTGCCAGACTGGATTCCCAGAGAACTGCATGTCTGACGAGTTAGGACCCACAATGTTCTACTGGCCCAGTCAGAAAGGAATGACAGATGTTATTTACCTGCAAGGATCTCCCTAAGGGATCAGCACTGGAACAGGAGGGATACAACTGCAAAAGCTAATATATAACGTATAGTGATAAAATGAAGTGGCCTAAAAATGACTCTCCAGTGGTCCTGGAGGATCGGGATACCACCCACACTCCCAGAATGCTCACCCAAGGCCAGCTGGGACAGAGCCAGGGAGATGCTGAGCGGCGACAGGATGACATTGGGCTGCTCTGGCCCAATCTCCATCTTCTCCAGCAGCTGCAGCCCCAGCTTTGTCACCGCGGCCCCCACGGCTCGCTTGGCCCCCTGGCCAAAGCGCCGGCTGCCACATTCCACGCCGTGCTCGTCCGTGGGGACAGGTGTGGTGTCAGGGGGGGTCGAGAAGTCTGTTACCCCCCAGACCTGGGGGTGGGGGGGGGGGGGGGGGNGAGAAGTCTGTTACCCCCCAGACCTGGGGGTGGGTGGGGGGGGGGTGGTGACAACAGAAGGGATATACTTTAAATGCTACCCTGCACCTGAGGGAAGGGGCATAGGAACCAAGGGAGGGGGGCTGTACCCACCAATATTTATATTTGGCTTCCTTCATCCCCCTCAATAAACAGACTTTTGCATTTAAAATACTAAGTTGTGCTCCAGCTTCTACACTCACTCGTTACAAATGTGTTTCATTCAAATATAAACCCACCCACCAGAACCAGGGTTTGCAATCTGTGAAAAGCATTAGCACAGAAAGCCTCTCTGCGCCTTGGTAGTCAGAGCGTTAACTCAGCCAGTGACAGCCTCCCTCTGGACACACCGTACACCACCCTCAGCAGAGTTTCGTTTTGGAAATCCCCCCCCCCCCAAGGCCCACCCCCTAGTCCCCTGTATGCTGTGAAAGGGAATCTATCCGGCCCCGGCGGAAGAGAGACAAAGCAAAGCTGAGAAGACGGTGGTCTACAAGGGAAAGAGGGAGGGGCGGCCTCCCCAGGTTTGCCAGAATCGTGCTTACGGTCAGGGCTTGCCTACTGGCACACAGCAGCAGGAGTGCAAAGATACGGGGGTCCATGTCCTCACAGTCAGCCTGGAATGGGAACAAAGCACAGGGCTGGCAGATGTGCCTGAGCAACCTGTTCCTACACGGAGAGGGTCTGCAGCTGAGCTACATTAACCTCCGCCGCTATTTACCCTGACCCAGCTTGTTAATGAAAGTCACCATTCACTCAAAAATAATAACGAACAAATAACGCGCCGCTCAATTCCTAATGACTGTTTCACTCGATTGATTTACAAGACATCGCAACCTGCACACAGGTGCACAGCCATGACCTCATTGTTCCCCTCATTACAAAACACTTCATAAGCGCGGCTCATTTTTTGGTTTTGTTTACTACTATTTCTATTTTAGATATAGTTGATCATAAATCAACGCGCTTTACTGACAACCTGTTTACCTCTTCAGATACATCCCCATTAGGAAACCCGCTTGCGGACCGGTATAATAATATATGTCTTACATTTATGTCTGATGATTCTGCCGTTGGATATTTACAGGTGTGTCCCAAAGGTTATTAAGACAAACTGCCCGCTCCGCAAGGTGCTGTACCCGCACATACAGTGTCTGCCAACTTTGCTCATGTTTTAATGAAAAACAAACGGCCATAGGATCGAGTGCCTTTAGAATATTTTTAATTTGACTTATTTGTTTTTAAAACTTTTTTTAACAAATGTTACACAGCAAACACAAGAAATGTTAGGAATAGATAATAAAAATAGGGTACAACTTCGGAATATAAGAAGACTGCATTGCATCACTCCGTAACAGCATAATAAAAGGTGCTACGCAGTTTTTTTTTTACTATAGGTACGATGCTGCATCTTGCCGCAATAACACTGCAGTGCGGAGTTTAAACTAGATTCTTCAATAAACTGATAAATTCAGCCAGGACGATATATTCTTTAAAAATATGGCAAATTGCTTTTACAAAATGGACCTTTAAAGTCCTCAATAATGCAACACAATGATTCACCTCCATTGATATCTTTTTACGAACGCCATTGCGGTCCACGTAGACACTGGGTATCTTTTCACAAGTTAACTGGTTTTAGTTCTGCATAAAGGCACCCACATTCTTCAGGGTGCATGCCGCGTGCACCTGGCATCTCATGGACATCGTCCCAAAACTAAACGCACCATTCTGACAGCACTTGTAACAAGTAATTCTATGGAGAAAAATCTGCAGGTACACTTTAGACCTCGCTGTAATTTCCAGCTGTAATTTGCGCTGGATCGGGTCGGCCAAGAACAACAATTCAAAAGACATACCACAAAGGAAGACAGGGGCGTTGTTTTAACGCAGTTAAGGGCGACCTTACCTTGCCAAAACGCCGTGGGAAGATCCTGACATTCAGCCCTAAAACTGCGCTACAGAAAAGTGCGAGATCGCATTGGGACGGGTTTTCAACAAGTGGTTAATGTGCAATCGCCATTGACCCGCGCCCACTACATGCCAAGAATGTCAATATTGAGAGATGAGATCCAGAGTTCAAAAGTTGGACCAAAACCGAATCGATGCTACCCGAAACGGTCCAATGGAGTGACACCAGAAGATGTAGAAAAACGGAGGCGCGAAAAGACGCAGGTGGCACTGTACCTGTTTCACTCCGCCGTGTGTCGAAACAGTGACTTAACCCCGCCTCACTCGTTCGCTTCTAGATGAGGAGTCATATAGTAAAAACTATATTGTTAAATCCTACACATTGCTAAACACAGAAAATCGGCTGACTAGTCTGAGCAGTTTTTGAGGTGATCTCATTTGTAATTGTAACGCACTGGGTTAGAAGTTATTCGATAAATCTTGTAGGATTATTGTGTCACTTTACAAAAGCACAATGCACAAAAGCACAATGAAGAAAATGTGATTAGCCTTCAATAGTAAATGAAACCCGCCAGTTACTTTCAATCTGGATATTTTATTGACGTAGCTAAAAATACAACGTTTGTTAATATAACCCTATTGGTAAACTGAAAGACTCCAGGTCCTTACTACAGAATACAAAGCAGAAATTCTCCTGCAGCACAAAATCAATTAACCTTTCCCTGGATCACTGAATTGTTTGACACTTACAGCCTTTGTAATTGTGGACCTGCACATATAAGTCAATACCTACTGTATTCTCCTAAATATAATTTTCAGAATGATCTATAATGCCAAACTTAAGGCGAGTGTTCTTTTTGGGCAATCATTTGGTCAGGACTGTATGAATTTATCTGTTATGAGTGACTGGTTTAGAAAGTCTTCTCAACAGAATCTAAAAAGAAGAAGTACCAGGGAAAAGGGATTCAGCCAAACTAGAAGCCTGCAGGCCCGGCCGTGTCCGAGTGCAGAAGTAGAAGCCTCTTACTAGAGATCAACAGATGGGGGGGCCATCACAGAATACTCTGAGTTTGTGACACCACACACACTGGGCATTGGGTTAGTTGAGGAGGTTGGAGAAGCTTTATTGAGTAAGACTAGTCCATATTTACCTAAACTTGCACCTCAAATACCAGATGCCCAGTCCTTGACCCAGTCAGTTTGGGTTAGATAATGTTTATTCTACTTTAGCTTTTGTTTGCTGCATCTGAGCAAATCAACAGCTTTCAACTTTCAGTCTTTTCTTATTAAATTCATGCAAAAACAGTCCAAACAGAACACGGGAATAAATAGATTCTATTTAATACCAAGCACGAGGATCCGCAGCGTTATTATTTGTGTTCCATTAGAATGGTTTTGAATAGTGGGAGGAGTCAGTACACTCTGTACAACCCTTTACACACTCGCCAGAGTTTCCCCAAGAGCTGGCAACCTACCAGTGCTCGCAGTTAATTTAGTGAAGTTCAGGAGAAACTCCAACAGGTGCCGACTGAACACGGCCAATCGTGGAAAACATTATAACAGAAATGAGGGCAACTCAAATGGGCATTTCGCACGAGCGTAAATTTAGAGTTCATTGGCATGTGTTGGGTCGGCTGACAAGAGCCAACAGAGCTGGAAAACAAAAAGCCTGACCTACCACAACAAAAGAGCGTGACCCAGTGCTATGTGTTTCCGATGGAGAAGTCACTGAGCGATTCCCACATAAACAATCCCGGAGAGGGACTAGCTGTTTTGCAGCAAACAATTAGTCTCTATTTACATTTTTGTGCCAAAACTTTCATGTGTAACCAAACTATGGTAGCATGTTGTTGTTTGTGCTGGAGTACATTTATAGAAAATGCTTTCAAAATTTTGTGGTGAAAATGTCTCTGTAACATGTCTCTTTGCCACCTTTTCCCAAAAATATATGAAAGCTTGACTAATGGCTTGATGCCAGGAGTATTGTTTGTTTGTGAGTGGACAGAAAGAGTGCAGTGCTTTTGTAGCCACCCCCTGAAAGTGTTGGCTAGCGGCCAAACCTGTAACCTTCATCTTCAGGAGATCTTCACCAGCTGAGAGCCTTGAGCTCTTGTGTCCACAGGCTGGGGACAGAGGGATAATCCACAGTCATGCCCAGTAACACGGTTAGGTACCACACTGGGTGCAGTGACATATATTTACTGTAAAGATCTGTGCTGTGTGGCTTAACCACCATAATAATAATGATAATAATGAGTCATCATATGGGCACGGTCATTGAGCAATACTTCTTTTTTTATGCACATCATTGTAGTATTGCTTATTGTGAGTGTTTTCCTTCACCTTTGGGGAGTTGGTTAGAATGTGGCCTTGACTTTCTTTGTATTCAGTTTTCAAGTTGTCTTCATGTTCCTATGGGTCCACATCCAGAGTCCAAAGAGAGGCTGGTGGACAGATAAAGGCAGTGAAGACACTGCAGTGAGCGCTCACTGGAGGTCTGACATCCGCTCCAGTGTGTACCTTGTGCTTCCTAGAATAGTCTCCAGATCTGATTGGATAAGAGACAATGGATCAATCAAAACGCCCCAAGTTCTGCACACGCTGTCCCGGTTTTCCTAGAAAGCTGGCAAGCATTCTCCCAGGGATTCTGAAGAGCTGCGCCATTTCTGCAAATATGAGTTGTCTCTTGTTCTTTGCTGCTCCCTTGAGTAAATTTGAGGTATGGCAGTTTTACAGCCTTACCAGGATTTTTGATGATCAAAATCAATGGGTTTTCTTTTACAAAGGTACCTCATAAAATCAAGGTTCTACAAGCTGAGAAGTACAGGGAGCCTATTGAAGGAACGAATGGGGACAACGTGTCACCAGATGCACTGTAAGCAACTGGAGGTCTATTATTTTCCAAAATAGATTCAAATTTTTGATAGTTTTTTGTCTTGTTACACAGCTTTAGAAATCTCATCTCATATGACTAATATTCCTTTCATGCATGGTGGAGTTTGCTGTGAACTACAGTTAACTCCTCGAGGCAAACTGTACACATTAGATTAAAGCATTAAGCAGATATTAAGAAAAAGAACAATCTCACAAAAGAATAAACATGAAAAACAATTCATATTCAAAAAATTTGAAAATCGTTAATTTCCCATGGCTTACATTTATTTTTATATAATGGCTTGTATCTGTTTAAATTGTTTGAACGAATCTTGTTTGTATAAAAACTAGGCCACTAAATCACTTTTTTCATTTGTGTCATTTCATCACAAAGAAACAAAGAAACTTACAAAGGGAAGTAATTCTGAAGTTCTCCAGTGTATGTTTATATATAAAGGTAAATGTTTAAATAAATAAAAGATATATGTTTTATATACACTTAAAGAAAGCTTAGACTCTGTAACATTACATGATAGCGTTGGTAGATAAGAATAACCAGCTGGTCACATGGTATCCTTTCTTATGTCACGAGAATGGTGGTGGTTCAGAAACTGAACTGTGGCCAAATATTTCCTTCCAGAGTGGTAACTTGCCCCATATTTCTTTTGTAAAGCTAATTAATACTGGAACTCAGCTGACGAACTGGGTAAAACCAATCAGACACCGCAACTGAAACAACTACACTAGTTGGCCAGGACTGGCAATAAACCAGTTGATTTGTGTTCTAGGACAGCAGAACAAGTACAGACTGCCATAGTTGCAGTTTCCTGTTTCGGCTAACAAACTAGTTCCAGTCATCCTTGAAAAACCAGCTTGCACCAGTTCTTCCCAGGACGTTCAGTTAAGCAGCTAAAACAAGTTATGAACAACATGGTTCTCAGCATGGAGGAAGTGAGACAGGCTCTGGCCTGGAGCTGCTGTTTGTTTGTACCCAGACACCCATGGTGCCCCTGACAGCTTCTCCAAGGATACCAAGATGTGGTGGATTACATCCCCTTGGCAGAGAGGAAAAAGAGCCCTTGTCTGGAGCAACAAAACAGCCCCTCCCCCCTCCACATTCCCCCCATCTTTGCTGACCCACTTCCCCCCAGCTTCACGTTTCCCCCCTCCCTTTCATCCCATCCTGTAGTTCTATGCCCCCCCCCCCAACAATTCCCCAGGGACAGCAGTTTCTCACAATCTCTTTGTAGCATGAGATGTGTAGAATCGGACGTTCTCCTGCAAGGATGTACATTTGTGTATGGACGGTAGATTTGGGTATTGATGTGTCCCTACCAACATCGTGGGAGCACTGGATGTGTTTGGTGGTAGTGGAGGGGTGGGGGGCGGGGGAAGGCGCTGGGGTTCGTGGCTGATCTGCCCCCTGCCAATGTTGAAACCAAACCAACGCCCTTGTTCCCTTGGCATGAGTAAGACGATTAAGAACGTATCCCTGACAAACGTGCAGGACAAACCAACAGTGCTCGTCACATTATTGTCAAAATATTTTTTTCACTTAGACTTAGTTCCTACTATATTCTCTTGCTGTTATTTATTTGTATTTATTTCCTGATGTTATGTTCTGAAGGTGTTTGTATTCCTTCTGGTTACAATACTATCTTGCATCTGTTACTGGTCACTCATTGGAAGCGTAACCTAGCAGCACCTGTAATATAAGGTGGTGCCTTGACAGCTTGTTATCTGTCCCATTTGTACATCACTTTATATATCCACCCGTCCATCCATCCATCCATCCATCCACCCACTCATCCATCCCTCAATTTGTGTCTAACTGCTTATGATGGCCTGGGTCATGGGGGGCACGCAGATCCTATCCCAGGCACGCAGGGTACAAGGCTTGGGTGCATCGTGGTTGGAGCGCCAGACAGTCACAGGGCACATTCACACACACACACACACACACACTTGGGCACACAAACCATTCACTATGGGCAATTGTCGAGATGCCAGTTAGCCTAACTGCACATCTTCGGCCTTCAGGAGGAAACTGCAGTATCCAGGGGATGCTCACATCACACGGGCAGGCAGCACACGCACAGCAGGGGCAAATAAATGTAAACAGCATAAGAAAAACTCTCAGATTGGCCCTTTGAGGTTATATACTTACATTTTACTCACGGCGTTTCTCGGACGTTTTCCTCACGCTCAGGTTACATTTTCCCCGTCATTCATGCAGCTGTCAGTTACATTGTCTGTACTGCTTCAGTTTCCAGTGCTTTAACTGAACTGTTTGCAGTGTCAGTACTGATTTTGTTATATTGGTAGTACTGATAATGTTACTAGGTCATTACTGATTAGATTACACTGTCAGTTCTGTCAATTATCACCTGAGGGTTGGCTTGGTTACACTGATAGTGTTGATTCATGAATCATGTAAGACAATGTAGTTTTAACCGTCATCATTTCTGTAATTTGTGTATATATTTCGAAACAGTTGGTTTGAGCACATGAAAACGTTCCTTAGTGCGCACATGCATCATGTGTATAGCTAGAGTGGCAAATGCAATGTTAGTCTCTTAGCTTCAGAGTGCTGTAATTACAAATATGTCCACAAGATGGCATTCTGAGGTTGACAAAAACTGTGAATGCAATCAAAGCACAGACATAGGCTTGTTCTTTGAGCCAATTGTTTCATTCATGTTTGACCCTCATGGGGTGACTTTTTTAACTGGATGTCCAGAGAACCAGTCTGCATTAAGCACCTTATTCAAGATGCTCTTCCCAGGATATTAATCTGAAACTATCTGGTCACAAGGTCAGTTCTCTGACGGCCACCGAATACTGCCGTCTTTGTTCCACCTTCGCCACGGCAGCTTCACCTGCAGGTCTTGCCCCGGATCTTCATCTCCGGGCTGATCCCATTTCAGACTCGGTTCCAGTAGCACAACACCGAAAGAGATAAAGTAAAAAATCAGCGATCACTGTCTGGCCTCCAGTATCCAAACACACACAAAAACACACATAAAACACACAAGCATTAATGTGCATTATACACTCACAAGGCCTGTGACTGTGTGTACTGTAGGTTACATCTACTTTGGGATTCCAGCTTCGCTCGAAGCTTGACTGATACCCGTGAAATGACGGTTGCATGGCTGCACGGAGCACAGCGAGTCCTTATATCCCTGAACATCCACTAGCTGCCTGGCCACAGTACACCATTGTCCCTAATGGACTGTTAAGGATCTGACTCTCGGCACACCGGCCGGGCAGGTAGCAGTGGAGGAGGGGATCATGTGGCAGCACAAACACTGGATGAAGGGCCACGAATCAAGATTCCCCATCTTCCTTTCCTTCACAGAAAAGCCTGTGTTTGTTTCAGGTGGTAGTGACCCCCAGCCCCAGGAGACGTCCCACAGGTTTTATCCTGATGAACAGATTCATTTTTCCCTTTCAGTTTTCACCCCCCAGCTGCGATGATTCCAGTCAGGTAATAGTCCCAGAAGCCTCCGTATGTGAGCGCAGTATGAGCGTTTGGATTATTCAGTATATACACAGTGCATCATGCTGCTTTTACAGCAGAGTTAGCTTGTCTGTAGCTGCTACGGAAGATAACTAACACATGTGCAGCTCCCAATGGCGGGAAGTAATGCATCTGTAATGGCTAACAACAGGTAAGTACATGTCTGCCTCAGACAGGCAATCTTCAGTACCTATATAGGCAGCTGGCAGTAGAGATAACCCCCCCCCCCGCCCACACACACACACACACATACACACAGATTCAGTAGCTGAATTAATTAGGCACACCGGCCCATTAACTACAAGAGGTCTGCTCCTTCAAGCAGCGAATCATGTAGCTGCACATGAACACATCGAGTAAACAGACAGGGTCAAGAGTTTTGGTTACTGTGTGGCTAAGCATTAGAAGGGCTAAAATATGGGATCTAAGTGGTTTTACATGTGGTGCAATTGCCAGTGCCGAATGTGGCGGATCCAGCGTCTCAAAAAAAAGCCACTATCCTGGCATCCAGAACAGCGCCTAGAGCTTACAGAGAATAAGCGAAAAACATCCAGTCAGCAGCACTTCTGTTGCTGAAAGCATTTCGTAATTGAGAGAGGTCAGAGGCAAAGGCCAGACCTGTGAAAGGCAACAGGAAGACCACAAGTGTACAAATAACAGTGGTGCACAGAGAGGCATCC